TGTGACGGTTATGGTCACGAGGGCTGGATGTCACATGCTCGCTTAGCGAGGCGCTAGCGCGCACGACCTGTATTTAGTTCCCAGCTCTCTCGAGCTCTCCTTCTTTCCTCGTCTTTTGTCCTAAGAATAGAGTGTTAATTGTTCTGAGTTCTACCTGAAGCACGTCTGTCACATAAATTAACGGTTATTATTATAATACGAACAAAGAACTAAGGGTTAACTCTAAAGGAAAGCGACTTAAACCAATAATTTAGGATCTTATATATATACTAGGTAATATAGACGAAGAATAACAAGTAAATTAGTGTCACGAATCACGTGTTCACGTGATACTTGTCATAATAAGAGGCGCAACCCTCGACAGGCACATTCAGATTTCTTATAGCAAATGGGGATCGCTTAGGGTAGCTAGGCGATCCAAGGATTTCTTCCTTACAGAAGATCATGTGACTAGGGAGTATGAGGAAGTATAAGGGAGGCTTATACTACTCTATACTACCGGAGTATAAGGAAGTATGAGGAAGTATAAGGGAGGCTTATACTACTCTATACTACCGGAGTATAAGGAAGTATAAGGAAGGCTTATACTACTCTATACTCGGACCATACGCGGGNCTAGGGAGTATGAGGAAGTATAAGGGAGGCTTATACTACTCTATACTACCGGAGTATAAGGAAGTATAAGGAAGGCTTATACTACTCTATACTCGGACCATACGCGGGATATGAAGGTTCTATATAAGACTGGCACGTCTGCCATTAGATAGGAGCTTCGTGCTCAACTTAGTTTAGCAATCTAGTCATTAAGTTATTACTTCTTTGTTAACAAGTGACGAGTTTGCCTCCGAGTAAACAACCCGGCGCATCTGTACTTCTTACCCGCATACCAACCGTCGAAACGATTACCTTTGTCAGATAGTTTAAGTTTCGTCACACTAGTATTAGCGGGCTAAACGTAGTATTTCGTCCTTCTATAGTAGGTAATTATATTCTCCTTTTAAGTAGAGTCTACTAGGTAATAGAGGGGTACTCCTACTACCTAAAGGGCTATTTAAGCCCTCTATATCTTCTCTAAATATAAAGATTAATAGATCTAGGTCCGGATCTTATAAGGGTTCGCGGTTATAATAGAATTAGTAAAAAGGTTAATAAGTAAGTAATAGTAGTAGTAAATTTAATAGATCCTCGCTTAGCTTAGATTCTAATTAGTTGTTACGGAGTTGGAGGGACAAGGGGTATTATATACCTAGAGAGGCCGCTAACTTTACTTATAAGCGGGTTTCTAGTAGGGGGTACGCTTATTATATAGGTAGAATACTAGAATCTTAGGGTATTATACCTAAGTGTCACGAATCACGTTCTCACGTGATACCTGTCATAATAAAGAGGCGCAACCCTCGACAGGCACATCCAGGTTTCTTATAGCAAATAGGGATGCTTAGACTAGCTAAGCGATCCAAGGATTTCTCGTGTATGTAGCCACGTGATCATTCGCATCGCCTCTATCGACAGTCGATGTTAGCGATAGGAGGTCGACTACATCGACAGGTGATGTAGGCGATGTAGAGAGAACGAAGGTTCTATATAAGACTGGCACGTCTGCCATTAGATAGGAGCTTCGTGCTCAACTTAGTTATCAATCTTATCATATTAGTTTGACATCCTTGATACAAGTAACGAGTTCACTTCCAAGTGAACAACCCGATAGTCTTCTTCTTATCATAGCATACCAACCAGCGAACACCCAGCCAAGTTTAGTTAGCCAGCGAGTATTCGTTACACTAAACTTTAGTTATGTAGTATTATAAGTTATAGTAATAGAAGGTATAAAGATCCTACTATTTTTAAAATAGTTATTACTAAAACTAAGTACCTTTCAGCGCAAGGCTTATAACCTATTAGAGGTTTATTCGAAATAGTACTAAGAATTAATAATAAAATAAGGAGTTCGTAAATATATAATTAAGTAACTAAGAAGAAAAGAGAGCTAGGTATAGGTCCGAGGATATATTGGATACCTAGGGCTAGTCCCTAGGTAGGTCTAATATATCCTAAGGTATAAACGGTAGACTCGGAATATCTAACCACTAACAACTTATACTATTTGGTATGGAATATTCTACAAGGGGGTCTTGGAATAGAATGGAATTCCAGATGCCGAACGCTGAAAGCTAAGCGAGTCCCTTAACATCCACTGATCTACCCACTTACCACATTTCCCCTATGTGTACCTAGGTAGATACAGCAAATCTTCATTCGCACCACTTGATCTAACCTCTCTCGAAGAAGAAGAAGAAGTAGAAGGAGGTTCAAAGCAAAAAACGCTCTTCATAGAGTCCTACTTTCATACCGAATAGCAGAGAACCAAGTACTAGTCAATGAAGAAGATTAGTTGTGTTTAACGAGGCCCGGGATGGGGAAGAAGGATTTGTGAGGATGGTGAGGATGAACTGAAGAGTTATGTGTGCTAAAATATCTATTCAGATATGGAAACAAGTCAAAATACCTATAGCATAAACAAATTGATTGTAGAAGTCTGTGACTGACTGACTATTGTAGCTATACACCACATACCTGCAAACAAACAAACACCCCTTTTCCACACCCCCCAAAAACGCCAAAAATACAAATACTACATTCCCATCATAATTACCCCACAATCCCCACACCCATACTCTAAAACTCCCCCACCCTCCTCAAACTATGTTCCTGCCCCCTCTCCTTCCGTCTCTCCTTCTTCCTCTCCCCCTTCTTCCTCTTAAACTCTCCATGAGCAAGTGGATCACTAACCGCCTCAATCCGTCTCTTCCCCCTCCTCTCCTCCCTCCTCTTCCTCACGCCTTCCCGTACACCTAAAATCGCCTCAGTATACAACTGTGTCCCCACTTTCCCCTTGATCGTCTCCATGACTGCCTCACTGCTATCTCTCAACTCCTGGTAGCCTTCTTTGAAAGCGGTGTCCGTGGAGTAGGGCGCGGGGATGGATGGATCGGTTAGGTTGTGAAGGGGTAGGAGGATGGTTTGGAGGGATGGGGTGAGTTCTTCGGGTGTGAGTTGGGAGAGGAGATGGGAGAGGAGTTGGAGTGCTGAGGATTTTAGGATGAGTGCTGGGGCACGGGGTGGGGAGAGTTCTTTCCGGAGGATGAAGGAGAGTTTGTTGAAGAGGTAGTGTAAAGCTGTTTCTTGTTCCTTGGTCTCTGTCTCTACCTCGTCCTCTTCCTCATCGTCTGATGCCACTTCTTGTGCTTTACCCCATTTTAAATCGTTGGCGGCGGCGCAGCGACCGAGGAAAATGAGGTTCTTGGAGATTTCCCCCGCGAGGAGCGATGTGAGACCGGGAGTCTTGAACATGTGTACGGTGCGTCGAATCAAGTCTGTGATATCATCGCCGTCGAGTTTCAACCCTCCCGAGCCCTTCAGAGGCAGACCATGGAATTCAGTTTCTGCGTCGGTTCGTGCAAAGTCCGCGAAGTAGATACTCATGATTTTCGCGGCAGATGATTTGACCCAAGCATGTGGAAACATGAGACAAGACCTAACAGAGACCCAGAAATACTTCATCTTGGAAGAAAGCATTGAGTCAGGGAACTTTTGAACGAGGGTGATTGCCAATTGTAATCCAGCATAGATCTGCTCCCAATCCGAGTCGGAATCTTTCGCCAGTCTGATGGTTTCATGAATGCAATCCTGAAGGATAGGAACATCTTTGCCCTCATTCTCAGTTGATTCAAAATAGAACCCATAAGTCTGCAGAGCCAATCTTACTACCGATGTGTTTTCTGTCTGCTTCACCCACGATCGGAGCATAGTGAGGAATGATACAAGTCTCTCCTTGTCGGCATTTTTGAAAATCTCCTTCATAACTTCACCGGCTGCCATACGGCACTTCTCGCTATCGTCGTTGGCGAGAACAAAAATAAGCGGTACAAAGCATGTTGCTGAAACTTCTTGAACAAAGTCGTCGGACGATTTTGACAGCAGCAGATGGATGACCTCTAGAATTGACAAACGACCACCCTCTCGATCATACTTCAAATTGGCAACAATAAAAGCAAGCTGCTTTGTCCAACGATTCTTCTTCTGGGGATAGTCTCGGAGAAACTGAAAATATGCACCTCGAGCTAAATCTCTGGTGTCTTTGTCGTCGTTGGTGACCATGACAGTACCAACGTAATCCAAAGTATCGTATACAAAGGCCGTTTGGATCTTTGAGTCCATGACTGCCCTCAACAAGTTGAATGTAACATGGCGACGTTCAGGTTTTGTCATGTCATCTTTCAGCCTGACAAGAAGCTCATCAACCGAGGTATCTTTTATAGCAACATCCTGGCGGTCTCGAAGAATGACGGAAATCATTTTGATGGATGCTTGCGCAATATCTGATGTAGTGGTTGAGGAGGCCGATATGCATTTTGTTGCCTCCCAAGCCGCGATTCGATACAAATTTGTGCCATCAATAGCGGTCTTTAAAGGAACCTTGGCTATAGTCGCGAGCAATCGAAAAGCAGCCACTTTCACCTCTTCTTCGGACTGTACAATGGCATCACCCAAAATAGGAATGAATCCAGCCAAATTACTCGAGGTTCTAAGATCGTCATATTTTTTGAGAACTGAGCGAAGAACATCGAAAGCAAATCTGACCAATTTAAAAGTGTAGATTGTGTTGCTTCCCCTCTCGCCAGCTCTCTTGGCGCCTTCTTGGAGGAGATATCGCTTGAGTCGGTAATTTCCTTTGGACTTTTCTGTCGGCTTTTGGGCATTGTATACATCTTGGATAACTTCGTAACAGAAGATAAGACTGTCGCGGCTCTGAGCGGCAGAATTCCTCAAAAGGCCGTTACTTATTCTGTTAAGCAATTCGTCAATTTTTCGAACCATTTTTAGACTGAGCTTTTCTTTGAGTAAGGCTTGTATTGGCTTGACCAGATCCGTCAATCGACTCAAAGTGGCTGTCATGGCGATGAGTTCCATCGAGTCATGACTCTTGCTGCTCTTGACCTCTTTCATTTTGCTCACATACTCTTCGGCGTCTTTTTCTTGACCAATAGCGCCAAAAATATCGTCCATGATAATGGCAATAATAGATGGCAAGCAGTAATCCAAATCACCAGGCGCATATTCAGGTGTTGTTGCTACAAGCATGGAATGCATTGTATACGAGAGAACATGCAACTGATAACCCCTTGCCAATGCTCCTCTTAGCTCCTTCAAAATGAAACCAAAACAAGAAGGACCAAGCAAGACACATATCTTGACCAAAGTGTCTCTAGTCATATCTCGTGCCTCTTGAGCTTTACTTCTCAGAATGTAACAAATATCTGTGAGAACAGGTGGTAACTTTTCGTTGAGCTGTTCTTGGGGAAGCAGCTTCAACAGCCGCACAATAATAACTGCGACTGGGACACGGAGACTGACAGTAGATTCGTCTTTGTCGTGTAGGTAGCTCGTCAAAGATGGAAGGATGTTTGTGCTAAGGTCTTCTGCGAGTTTGAGCTGTTTTGGCATGGTTTTTGCTAGCTTGCTACGTGGTTTCATGGAGTCCTCGACCTCAGGCGATTCTTGTGCTGCTAATGCCAATGCGTCAATGACCTTACCTAAAAGGCGTATTATCTGTTTCTCCAGTTCAGGTTTTGCGCGAACGTAACCAATGAACCTTCTCAACATCGCTCTGTACTGTTGCCATTCCAAGGATCCTGACAGAATCCCCACTGCAGTTGTAGCTTCCGCTGCCAGATTGTGAGCATCACTTCCTTCAGCCCGATCAAATATGAAGTGTTCGATGAGAGGAATAAAGAAGTGGCTAACATTCTTTCCACTCAATTCCCCTCTTTGCGCGGCATTAGAAAGCTGGCTTAAAGCATTAGACTGTCGCCCTTTACCGGCTGTGATAATATTATTGAAGAATGAAGATTCAAGTTCGTCTTCGCCAGCAAGAAGACCGTACATATCCCCGACTTCATCCCAATCGGGGAAAGTTCGAACGAGATGAGCCATGACTTTCAAATATTCCCTTCGTATGACTTCAGATGGTTCTCGGGCACCAAGAAATATGGCTGGCATCAAAACCGTTGATATCAGACTCTTAAATGATGCTTTTTCGGAATCATCCGCGGCGCTGCCTGCCGAACTAACAAATTGGCACAAACCATCGGAACTGTTCAAGGAAAGAATTCCGAATTCTTCGTCATGGCGGATGTAAAACAGCATGTTGTAAAGGAGCGGAATCCATTGATGAGCTGTGAGCGAATCCTTAGGAGTTGTGATGAGTTTGAATGCCTTGAGACGGCGGTCATAGTCGGGCTCATCAAGTCGGCCTTCAATAAAAGAGTTAAGACCAAGACATATAGTGGCGACGTCTCCCAGGACTGGATCTTTCTCAGCGTAAACCATTAGCACACGCGATAGAACTTCTCGACTATCTTTGTCCTTGAAGAACCCAAACAGTGAAGTTACAGTATTGTAGACTTTGTCCTTCAGCTCCGGATCATTTTGCAGATCGTAAAGTGGAACAAAGTGCTCAAGGACCAGCAAAAGCCCGGATTTCGTTTTTGGACTGACACGCCGCGAGGGCTGATCGAGGAGGAATACCGACACGCTCACAAGATTATGAGCCTGCGTCGAGGTAGTGACAAATGGGGCAAGTTCTGAAACTGTAGCCACACAACCTTCGAGCAAGTCCTTGCTAAGATCATGCTGACCACGAAGAACACCACCAATGTGTGAGAGAAAATGATCCATATTCGGTGTAAGTAATTCAGTTTTGACTTGAGCTTTAATTGCGTCATTGTCGTCTTCCCGAGCAATCTTGATGATATTTCTGATAACACTCAAGACATAGAGTTTGACCTCGTCTTTTGACTTTAAAGGGGCAAGACATTCAGCCAACTTTGGCAAGATTTCTGCATTGCTCCCAAGAAACAGCACGGAATTTGCGGACATAGACCAGGTTGAAAGAAGTCGCAAAATTGTGGCAACACTTTGAGCAGTTTCGATTGGTAGCTTTTCAAGCCTAGGAAGGATAACGTTGTTGACGATGGTCTCCAAGTACGGAGACCAGTCTAGCTCAGCGGCGTTGTTGAACAAGAGGATCAGGCACTTCAGTCCAGTTTGGCGAACGACCTTAAGCAGAGAGGTTTGAGTGACCTGTTCTGTCTCCCCATCAAGTTCTTCCGTGTCATCCTCTAACTGACGCGAAGCATGAATGGTGCAGTATAGTACAGTCTGGGATAGCTTCTCGGCAAATGGCGCTACTTTTGAACCAAGCTCCTTTAATACTCCTTCAAGCATATTGGTCACACCAAGTTGTTTCCGCACACTCAGAATCTGCTTATCGAACACGGAATCCTCTACTGAACCATTCTTGAGTAAGTTGAGATCTTTCAGTTCATCAAGGGAAATATCTAAGAAATGCTCGACGTCTTCAACGCTCAAGCTTCGTAGAACTGTCAGTCTTCGCGCTTCCAATCCTGCTTTGCCACTCGCAGCGCCCTTTCTCGAGATAGAGCGCCCATAGAGCAGCCTAAGAAGAACAGGCATGAGTGATGGTCTATGATCAGGCTGAATTAGCGTTTCTCCCTGAAGCAGCGTCGAAATCTCGTCCTTGAAGCGATTCTCATCCAGAAGGTTAAGAAGATTTTCTTCATACGGTCGGATGCTATTGTCCTTCCAGGTGAAGATAGCCTTCAGTGCAGACTTTTGAATTTCGATATCTCCATTCGCAATTAACTGCAGAAGTGAAACCTTTACTTCTTCAGACTTGTATAGCGATTTTGGGTTGACGAAGGAGCTGAACAAATCGAGCTGTGATTTCTGGTCTTTTCTGGTCCAACCGCTTGGTACAATCTCTGCACGTTCTCCAGATGGGTCTTGATCATCTCCTGACTTGCTGGACCAAGATAGGAACATTGGAACAAGCTGCCTAGACCTCTTCTCTGCAATAGTAGGAGTGACGAGGAGCAACCGGAGTGCCTGTGATCTGGCAACTGGGGGTGGCGATGTTACCAACTGTTGGGCATCCTCAAATCTCTGCAGCATGGTATCTCGAGCTTTGATAACCTCAGACAAGGCATCATTTGCCTGTTGGTCCAGAGTGGACAAGTTTGAACATTCAAAATCTGTCAGTCCATTATTTCGAGGCTGCTCTACATTCTTAGCCGACCCATCCCAGGTCATAGAAGGCGAGTCTAACCAGCCAAACGCAAGCTTTCCAACGACTTCCTCGCCAATCTTGGACTCTGAAATTTGTTCAAGAGCAAGACATGAGTCTTCCCATATCTGGGCATACTTGACGGTTAACATACCGAAGCAAAACGATGGGATTGCTTGCTTGAGCCACGATGACGGTGCTTGATGTGGATATAACGTGGCAAGTTTTCGGATGTGCATTGATGCAGACCGAGCACTCTCTATATCGAGTGGAGTCTGCTCTACCATTATCATAATTGAGAGAGCTTCTGATGCGGATCCATGCTCTGTTGTGTAGAGATGGTCTAACAAACGAATAGATAAAAGTCGTAGATTGTGTGATCCGGTTGAGAGATTGGAAATTAATGACGTTGTAAGCAGGTCAACCTCTGCGTCGGCCTCTGTTTCTTCCTTCCCCGCTGCAGTCTTGGGCTTGGGGGATAACTTTAGACTTGTTTCATAATCATACATAGCTTCCAAAAAATGGGGTAGGCGAGCATATCTTGGTGCGGCTGCACGTAGTAATGGCTCGAGGGCTCGATCGACCTCGCCGGCACCTTTCCTCATTCTTGAAAACGCACTGAACCCTCGCCCGACTATAAAGTTTGCTTCTTCTGGGGCAAGAGACGACGAAGGTCGCAACGCTAGTTTCAATTTTCGAAGCAAGATTTCAGAAATTCGGGCATTAGTTGATGGATGTACGACAGTACATGCCAAAACTTCGAGAAGCGCGTTATATTTGGGAAGACATCGATCATGCCAAGTTGTAGGACTCCTGTCTTGAGATCCTGCGGAAGCCTGTTCAGGGAATGGCGAAACCTCCAGTTTCTCAAATTTGCTCACAATCTGGTCTTGCCATGACTGAGGCAAGTTGAAGCCATCTTTACCATAGTGGCTGGGTAGTACACCAGAAGACACCATTTTTGGCAATAGTACAGAGAGAGTGTCGCCATTTTCCGCATCTGACCAATGCGCGACTACAAATCTGCCGACACGTTAGAACCTGGCCAAAATGCTCGGGAGACTTCTTACCTTTGAAAATAGGGCAAAGCAATACTTCGGAACCGTGCCGAGTCAGCTTCCGAAAAATACGAAGAGAAAGGCAAGAACCATTCAGCCAGAGGCTCCTTCGTCAAGGAGTCGAGAAATGGCGAAATGAAAGAGATTATCGCATCCATAGGGGCATATTGTAATACAATGGAAACACTAAGAATAATATTGTTCCAAAGGCCATCTTTTGAGTTGAAATTATTGACGGCGCTTGTGTTTTTTGATATCGCTCGCAGAATGCTTGCCAGTACCTTTAATACGCTCGGCCAATTAGCAGCAATTCGTGTGCCCTTTCTAACACCACACGCGACACCGATACATCTGCCCAGAAACAATAGACGGCAAAAGTCGTTCTCTTTAGTTGAGTCTTGGAATTGATCCACAGCGGTACTGGCTGACTCTTCAACTACATTCAAAATATCCTTGAAAGTATCAGAGCTAGAATGGTGGACCATGCTAGTTAGGACACCAGTAACAAGATTCTCCCATGGGGACGATTCTTTCAATCTCCAATCTGTCTCGCCCAGTGTTGATACCAAACATCTGAAGATTGCTGGACCAGACGTGTGAATGCTTAAACCATTTCCTTTCATTGCCTCTGCAAATAAAGTCATCAGGCCGTGGTAGTAGAGACCAAATTCTTTGGTTCCAGAAATGCTCTCTAAGTCAGCTTTGGCATGGCACACAATCAGAGGTAATGCTTTTTCTCTATGTCCTGGAGTGCCGGCTTTCTTAACGAGAAAACTCAGAGCTTCAGCAGCAAAACGGGCAATATGTGGTTGCTGTCGATGTTTTCCCAGTAAAGGCGCCATCAAATTGTAGGTTGGTCGTAAATCTGGGACCAGGAATTTGGAGAGGTACTTGAACATAAATGCGAGACAACTGAAACTCCATTCAATCACTTCAACATCCTGTGGCGTACCAGCGATAGAAGTGACCAATTCCAACGTTTTTGCATAATGCTTCTCAAATCTTGGACCCAAGTCGTGCGCAAAATCCGTAATCAGTTCCAAGAGAGGTTCAATTGACTCCCGTTCCCGTTTTTCCATATATGATACAATTATTCCCATGATCTTATCCTCGAAATGCAAAATCTGCGGGAGACTATCGCACATGGGCAAGACTTCGTCCGCAAAGTTGACAAATGCCTCGGACATATTAAGTTCCCCCCATTTTTCCAAGCCCGATTTGAAGTATGAAGTGGCGGTTGTGAGGTCCTCGGCTTCGATATCGTGGCGACGTACTCGTCGGATGGGGTCGAGGGAGTTTAGCTTGGATATTTTCGCTGTGAAGGATTCCCATCGATGGTTCTTTTGGTGCATTGTTCCCTTTTTCCCCTTACGGATTTTGACGATACGCCCAGAACTTGTAGATGGCATGTTGGGCGGTGGGAGCTTCAACGAAGCTGGTGGGTGGGGTGGAGTGAGAAATCAAGCTTGAAGCTATTCACGATGCGATCTGATGCGACTGCGCTCAGTCTTGACAAAAATTATTTCAGTGGAGTAGGCGGTGAAGGTGAGAGACGAAAATAGGCTGAAAGTAGCTAGCGTGGCGCTAAGATAGTGTGGCGCTAAGATAGTGTATTTCGGCGATCGGCGATAACAATCCGGGGTAGCTTCTCAAGCTTGGAAGCTCGACGCGACTGATTTGAAGGTTCCTTTTTACTTCAACTACTCGTAGACCTCCCGCTATCAACACAACCACCACCACCACACCACACCACAACACACCACACCACCAGAGCAACCTCACCACCTTGCTCACCAATACCCATACTAACCACCTCGGAGAATACCAAATACAGGCAGGCTGGGTGCAGGTCACACATCATGTCAACCAAAATGTATGTCCGCTTTCATTCCCGAATCTCACGCTCTGGATCCCTTCCGAGGGAATATTCGCCAACCTCCGCAATGGAAGGCAAAGCTGACCGCATCACAGCATTGTCCTGGGAGACCCTCATGGCGAAATTCAATCCACCCTCACCCAGTTAACTAAACTTCACACCAAGAATAACTTCGCCTTTGCGCTCGTTACCGGCAATTTATTCTCGGAAGACAATGACGAAGTATCGCAATTGCTCGACGGTCGACTGACTGTGCCCCTCCCAACCTATTTCACCATTGGCACAAATCCGCTTCCAGCGAGGATCATTGCGAAAATTGAGGCCGAAGAAGAGGTTATACTTGATTCACCACTTTCTGTTCTGCAACGTGCAAGTGCTGACTGGTTCAAATAGATATGTCCCAATTTCCATTATCTGGGCAAACGAAGTACGACGAAAACTTCTGAGGGCATCAAAATTGTGGCGTTGGGAGGGCAATTGGCTGAGTCCATCATAGGTGGAACTTCCAAAGAGCAACACCTACCTTTTCATACCATTGGAGATGCTAAAGCTCTGTATGGCGCCAACCAGGCCGATATCCTTCTTACGTCGGTGTGGCCGGATGCGATCAGAGCGGGATCCAAAGTACCAGTTCCTGAAGGAGTCACAGATATCGTCGGTCAGGGGCAAATCGCCGATTTGTGCGCTGTTCTCAGACCTCGCTATCATTTCGCCTCTTCTCCCGAGTTCTTCTTTGAAAGAGAACCCTTCTTCTATCCTCCTACGGGTCCAAATGAGGATTCACCATATGTCTCTTCAGTCACGCGCTTCATATCTCTAGCGGCTCGTGGAAATGCGACGAAGCAAAAATCTGTATACGCGTTTACCTTGCAGGCTTCAGTTGATCCGTCAGTACCAATTCCACCAGGTTCAACCCGGTCTCCTTTTTTATCTAGGCCGAATCCCAAAAAGCGACGCGCCCTTGATCCTGAACCTTATTCCCGGTATGGAAATGGTCATGACAGAAGATCAAGAGGACCAAAGCGGCCAAGAGGGCCTCCCCCAGGTCCTGACCAGTGTTTTTTCTGTCTTTCAAATCCGAACGTCTCTGAGCATTTGGTTTCTTCAATCGGAGACCATTCGTATCTTACCATTGCCAAAGGTCCGTTGACCACTTCAGAGACCAACGCTGCTCTAGGTATCGATTTTCCTGCTCATGCTTTAATCATCCCACTCACCCACTCACCTACTCTGGCTGTCATGCAAGAAGAGGCGGAGGCGGCTTTTACGGAAATGACAGAATTCAAGGACTCTTTACAGTCAATGATTGCTAAGCTGAGCAGCAACAAACTAGGAGCGGTGACTTATGAAATTAGCAAAGGTAATGGAGTTCACGTCCACTGGCAGTTGGTCCCCATCGATCAGGAGATTATCCGCCAAGGGCTTGTAGAGGCCGCGTTTCGCGTTGAGGCTGAAAACTCGTCGTATCCCGCATTTGAAGTTCGCGATCCTGGAGTTGGTCAAAATGATGGTGATTTCTTCCGAGTTTGGATTTGGACACCAACAAGTGATGAAGAGCCGCTTGGCAGTACCAAATGTCTGACCATGCCATTTGACTATACGAACAAGTTCTCTATTCAATTCGGTCGGACCGTGCTGGCAAAGCTGCTAGGTTTGCAGAAAAGAGGAGATTGGAAAGAGTGCGCTCAGACTGTGGACGAGGAGAAGAAAGACATGGAAGCATTTAAGGTTGGATTTGGAGAATTCGACTTCACGGCGTAATATGATTAACACGATACCCCACCCCCCCAAAAACCTTTATTTACAAGCGGCAGTTGACAGCATATACCATATTCTCGGAGTTGCAGGTTTGTATGGGAGAAACCATCCTGAATTCCCTGCTAGCTCTTACCTTACTACCTGCGGGGCAGCATTTTGTTGGAGATCCACGGATACGGACCCTTTAGCCTATCAAAAATTAATTTACAAGCGAATTGGCCCCTTGAGAGATGACTCCATGGTCTTATAAGTGACAGAATTCTTTCATGTTTCAATTACTCTATTTCTTCTGATATCACGATGCACCCTACACCTAACATGCAGGTGGCAACCCAACTGTCTCTGGATCTCATGGTTTCTGTTTTGTTTGGGTCAGCTTTCAAATTTCCTCAACCCAACGATTAATGTGAGAAGATCTTAGATAGATCAGCTCTGGAAGTCAGGTGAGGGAAGATGGAAGGAATTTCCATTTTATACTATCTTACCTTTACGCGCTTTCAATGTTAGCATAGGTAAAAGTAGAGGACTGACCGAACACGGATCAAATGTTCGGATAAAAGTGAAATAGTAAATTCTAAGCTTCGTCTATTCTAGTATATAAAAAATACCGTTATATTAGTACTAAGTTAACCTACTAGAAGTCCGCTATTTAAAAGGGTTATATTAAGTGTAATTACTAATAATAACTAAAGAGCGACTACATATTATTAGACTACCTTTACCTATGTCTAGTAACCTAGTATAATATCTAATTTATAAATAAAGCCTTGTTTCTATTACTTTTATAGAAAATAGTATATTTATACCTAAAACTTATAAAACTAATAAAACTACTAGGTCTAATTAGATCGCTTAACCGTGTACGCTCTAGCATAATTCTAGCCGTAGCTAAGGGGATAGTATAATTATAACTAACCCGACTTTATTACCTAGCTCTACCTATTATTAAATAACTTTTATAATTTATAATTTACGATTTAGTTAATACTAACCTATCTTAAAGGCTAAGGGGGGGTTTTATCCACGGTTATACTACTATTCTAGGATAGTTATAAAGAAACAAGTATTAATTTATTATAACTTAGTTAGAATAATTAGTATATTATTCTTACTTAGTAATCGTTAATATCCTAAATACTTCTAGGATAATTAGGGATTTTTAAATACTTAAGTTATCCTTAGGTATATATATATAATATATATAGGGGCGATATTATTAATAGTATTACAAGTAAGTGTATTTACTCTTAGTATAAAATTTTCTGAATGATCTTCCCTCTGTTAATTTTCTATTATGAGTGTGGAAAGGATCGAATCTTAAACTCTTAACTTGAGTTAGTTGTTGGAGTTTGGTAAAAACTAAGAAACAGGATGCGATAGCTACGGGAAATCGTTGGGAAACAATGCCTTTGAATAAAGGGCTAGAAAAGGTAAAATCGAATTCGACTTCATTACAATGCTTGTGTTCTCGAGTATTTGAGCTCTGTGGATATTTATCCCGGAAAGTTATCACGCTTCGCCCCCTCTTTTTATGCCGCTCAAGATTCATGCTAGGTTATCTAATTGACTTTTCAATCCTTGAAGGCTCCTCAATCGAAAAACAATCACTGACTATCACGCATCAAAAATGTGAGTTTTCAGGGACAAGGACTGTTCGCTTATTAAGATTTATAACCACTTTCCAACCGAGACAACTTCGTGAGTCCAACACTGCCAACCTCGCTTATTATTGAGCAATGTTCTTCGAGCCAAAACTCTCAATACTTCAAAACCTCATTTCATCAATTTTCCTCCAGAAGTAAGTATGTTTTGACGATTCGGCAGCGCGCAGTCTTTGCATCCTCTCCCCATTTTGCTCAATGAAATTACTTGTGGCGACTGACCCCTTTCTGCTTTTGGCCAACGAGGATGTCCACTACCAGTGTTAGCAAGTCTTCTCATCAACTGTGCTAATACTGGGGGAAAATGAAAGTGGTATTTACATCTGTTGGAACGGACTCTTTGTTAAAAGACTCTTCTGGCTCTGCAGCTTTCAACAATTCCCCTTTATAATACCATTGTGACCTTTGATGTTTTTGTATCTGTGTACTCAGTTGCCCCTCGTTTTGAGGTATTGGGCGTAGTTTTATTTGGCTTTCAAGTACCTCATGAAGCGCGTTTTTGACTTGTTCTAGTTGCTCTTTGGTGGGCCGTGGGAGAACGCACTGACGACGAGACAGATGAGCTTGTATTTCCCGGTCGCTTACACACTCGGTTTGTTGGTTAAGTTGAGAGAGTTCTGCTTGTGGCTCGTGGCTTTGCCGAGAAATCGGTTGCAAAATCGGAGGAAGTTTGTTGCTGGACGAGATTGAGTATGGGTATACTCTGGGGATACTCCTTGCGGTGTTTTCCGTCACCATCTGTTGCTGGAATTCGTGGTCTGAGCTTGCTGGTTGTTGCTCATTACTGGTATTTAGCCCAAAAGTCTGAAACTTTGCTGGAATTGAATGAGAAATTGAGTTTGATTGACAGCATTGACTCTTCTTGCCGCTACGTCCCAAGACGAAAATGCCATTGTCATCGAATGTTGAGATGAAATCTTCCTTCTCGATACTTCGTCCGATGGGGTTGCTATATCGGTCGTTCGATGGTGCTGGTTGCTTGTAATCAATCGCTGGAGGTGGTAATTGAAACGTATCCAAACATGGAGGTGATTTGACGTTCCGCTGCTTCTTAGGAAAGGCTTTTTGAAGTGGCGGAGCTTTGCGTTTGGAAGTTCTCTCAATGGATTCTTCTGAGAGAATACTTCTTGTAATGCCTTCCGTATGTTCTCTGCCACGCCTGCCTTTGGGAATCATCCATCGAGCGTCTGGCTCTGTGGCTTTGTCTGTTATGTAACCTTCATCCTGCGTAGACTTTGACTCGGTAAGATCTATGGTCGGAGACTCTTCGGTGCAGGCGTAGGAAAACCCGTACTGGGCGTTATACTGAATGTTTGGGGTGCGAGGGCGGTTTACTGCTGTAAACATCTTTACGAAATGAGAATTGGCCGACAGTATTGATTCAAACTTCAATTGCGTTGGAAGGATGGTAAATATGTATGCAGAAAAATGTCGTGATTGAGGCAATACAGTGATCGGAGTGAAGAGTGCGACTTGTCTTGGAGAAAAGGGAACAGAGAAAGTTTAGAAGTGCAGGATCATTCTTCATGATATTAATATCATTAATGCAAGTAAAGCCGAGATGACAGAAAATGAGGAAGGAGGGACCTGAATTCGGTGCTGTGGCTAGAGGCCATTTCAAGAAAGAGGTGTGGTCGCTCCTTCCTTACAAATTATCGGCCATTTGGTTTTCCTCATGATAGCTAATTCTGCAGACAGCTCAGATGCGGGCTTTCGTATCGCATATCGGTAGAATGAAATTTGGAGGAACATTGCTCTTGCAACATTGTCACAAAAACTCCTGATAGGTATATGCGGATGAAACAAATGATTGAGACGTATGCTTCCGCGAACTAAGGAACCAAGTATATTATGAACGTCAAAACACCGTGAGAAATATACAATCATTGGGTGCTAAGTAACCAGTCAAATATTCACGTTCATGTGCAGAAATTGTTTCCTGCTCAGCCAAGTGTCTTGGGGTCATGATGGCCAAACAACTAAAAACAAGATATGCCGCGGTCATCACAAGCCTCGAGTGTTGCCTTTCTATATCTCTGACCCTGCCAAGTCTTTGTTGATTTGGTACCTTTGAGCGGTGAGCATACCCAACGGATGATGGTTGGTGAGATGTGCGCCCGACGATATACATCGGAAACCCCCCCTTTAAAGGCCAAGGAGGACTTCGGCTGCGACCGCTCCTTCGCCTAACACATCCCAGAATCTCATTTCAGATACGTCCAATCCTCTCTCGCCTTGAGAAGCTTCCTTCTTCCTCTTCGCCATCCTTGACGATCCCTAACGAACTCCTTTCCCATAGATAATTTCTATATTCATTGTGTGGGCGAGACGTTGCCTAGATGAGTGTCAAATTTGGCATACATATAGGTCCGATTCGCTTCTATGTCTTGGAAGAGTGAGCTCCAGGGGGGTGTCAAAATAGGAATCCAGTCTGTCTCTAGTGGTAGGAGTAGTTTGAGATAGAGGGATAAAGGTCTTGATGGGGGAGAAATGACTTGGAAAGTAAGGTCGGTATTGATCTTTGGAAGGTATGATTGATTTACCTCGGTTTTGATCACAAGTTATAGTTTCGAACCTGAAGTAATACTATTGTCATGCAGGTTGAAGGGTTATCTCTGAGATGAGAGTATGAAATTGTGAAACATTACGGCCTATCGCTATATGGACCACACAAGCTAATAGCGATTGGCAGAGAAGTTCGTGTTTAACAGAGATATTCACTGGCGAAACAAATAACACGTTTACTGGGGGTAAAAGGTACTGGAGAACCAGCTATGTAATTGCTCTCAGGCATATATTTTATGTACAGTACAGGTATGAACACCTAAAACACAGTCTGCGTGATCCATCCTTCTTGTTTCTATTTACAGTCGTTATCCCTTTCCCTTCCAATCTCAAATGGATTTTTCTCGCCCCCATTTAGGAAAGTCCACAACGTCAATACTCCACAGACCTTTGATTATGCACCCTATACCAGAGGTCTTAAGACGTAGTGCGACGAGTTTAATATTCAATTACAATCACTAACCACTCACTTGGAGGATGATTATTCTTCAGGAGAAACATCGGTTGGAGGAAATGTGACATCTGGAAATTTGGCATTTGGTGGAAGAGCGGCATCCGGTGGAAGAGTGACATCTGGGAATTTAACATTTGGTGGAGGAGTGCCATCCGGTGGAAGTGTGCCATCTGGTGGAAGAGTGCCATCTGGCGGAAGAGTGACGTTCAAGGGAAGCGTAATATTTGGAGAAGTAATGTTTGGAAAGGTGATGTTTGGCAAAGTGATATTTGGAGTAAAAGGGACGATTGGCGGAAGTGGAGGCGGAGGTGTCAGAGGGTCATTTGAGGTTTGTTCGTTCATGCTGGTAATTTTTAAATTTCGGATCTGGTATGTTACATCTGCAGGTTTGGTTAACACAGTTTCTTGAAAATTTGACAACAGTCAGAACTCACCTTTATTTGGTCCTGGGGCCCCTGAACTGCCTTCCATTTGCATGTTTATGATGCTAAGATCCTGGTTAGTAATACGTTCCTTCCACCGTGGCAAATTTTCCGCAAGATTACTCACAACCAAAACGGTTTCCCAGTATAGCCTTTTCCGGTTTGCGTCGTAACCTCCTTGCCATTCATGAAGTACTTGGTGGCGACATTCCCTTTCCCATCATCTCTCAATCGAGCACTGATAGAATTCCAACCCCCGGGGTTCGGGTACTGGACATCCTTGGCATCAACATCTTTACTGGTGTTGAAAGTGTTGAAACTAATCTTTCCACTTCCTTTCCACTCGGCGATATCAACCTCAGGCGGCCAACCCTTGACAGCGGTTAGCCAAAACGCTGGCCAAGTTCCTTTTGCTACAGGAGCGTTAAATTCGGCCTCGAATTCCAGACCCCCGCCTTTCTCAACTGTGAATTGCTGTTTTGCGTGTACGGCGCCTGAGAGGTAATTTATTGGCAGGTCTTTGTTTTCAAAGCGGGCAGGCTTTTCGCCCGTGACGCGCTTGGCAGTGATTTTCAGGGTGTTGTTTCCAGGGAAGCTCACTTGGGAGGGATTCATTCGAGCGGCACCATTATGGTCTGGGCCCCAAGGGTATAGTTGCTTGAACATGGTATCGAAAATTGTAGAGTCTGTGAAGGTTTCCGGGGGAACAAGGATATTCTGTGATGTTGCTGTCGCAGAAAGGAAGAACGGGACAATAAGCGAGGGGGCGTGGACGCGCATCTTGTGAATCTTTTGCAGAAAACGAATGACGAAACAAATGGGTATCACAAAACAGAAAGGCACAGATGTCCTGGAGACAATTGAAGGATGTCTAGAATATTATATACAGAAGCTGGATAAAATATTGCCGGGTGCCCAGCTGGTTTTGAAAATGCCTAAACAAGCCGGCCACCGGGAAAAGGTAAAACTAACTGCCATGTGGATGAAGTCTCATCAACCTTCGTGATCTCCATCCGCTACAACAATGATGTGAATGCGAGAAATCGTCTCGAGCATACTGGGAAAAGTGTGGGGGAGCGCCAAATATAACGAGCTTCCCCTGGCTTGGAGTGTAATGCGATGGGTGGATCATTTTTGAAACGATGTTGAAACATCAGCCACATATTTTGGGAGGATCAGTCGCGTTCAACACACACCTAGTGATTGTGTGATACCGAACTAAAAACTTTCAGATGTACAGTACAAGTACTTATCATAATACCTGGTATGCTCGTTAACGTCATCTCAATGCACAAAGTTAATATGGGGCACGTTCGCTGGTGAAAGCTGTTCATCTGCACAACAAAGAAACTTTTCCATACAGATTCTGTTTAGACGAACTATATGTCTCGTATATCCAGATACACACTATCTTGGAAAAGTATTTTGTATATGTATCACCAGAAAAATTGTGAAGTCTTTGACCGCAAAATGATTCGAAAACGCGCTTATTTTTCTGCGTAGCTTCTATTCGCCGCCACAAAAGAAGTGTAGGTAAAGTGCCCATTTTACGCTCACTGTGTTATCTAGTCCTGAGAGACACACCTCTATGGAATATTGGACTACAAAGCACTCCATAGTACTATTCAGTTACTTAGAGATTGACGTAACGAGCCCGGTATGTTTTCAAAAACGATTATACTTTCCCATTACTAGTTCTAACAATACCTAATTCTCTACCCTAAGCAAAGTAGTATGGCTACCCTAATCTATAGCCTCCATCACAACTACTATAGCTAAACCTTGATAAGGTGCAAAGCGCCTTCTTGGTCTACATATATAAAATACTAGAACTGGATTCTACTAGGTTGTTCGTTCTTCCCCTGAGTCGATAGACTATAGTACTAATACGCCTCCTATACTATTCAAAAACATATCCAATCTGTTCTGAAATTTATATAGCGCCTATACTTTTAGCTGAATTAACGTTATTGAAATATATTCACAAGATTAGAAAAGATATTTGATTAAATATTTGCTTAGAAGCTAGAGATTCTTCCCTATATATGGGCATTACAAGTATTATAGATAATTATTAATTTTCCACCTACTAAGTTACCTATTCCCGAAAGACACGCCCCGCTGATTTATTAGCCTATGTTATATGACTGCTCTGCCACTAAAAGGCTTATCTTGTCCCACTCCCCGCCAATATCAACCCGTGACTAGTATATATAAGCCAAGCTTCCATGAAAATCCTTTTCATCGAGTGGTGCAATTAATCTAAATCAAGTGTGTACGGCTCGGCTCGTAAGCACATAAATCTGGGCAAATCATTGTAGGTTTGCAAGGATTCAAAATGCGATCTGATCAGGGTTTTAAGGAACTTCCATGTATTTTGGGAGGTCTGAGTTGCCTAAAAAGACAAGCTCTGGTAGTCGTGTAATTGGGTAATATACCACTAAGCCCTTGGATTCAATAAAAACCCGCGATTCTGATCTCTCATATTGTCTTATCGAGGGGGCACCTTTTGGCTTTTATGGATCAAGAAATTATGGTATGTTCTCAATTTAGTGTATTTTGTCGGGATAATCAGAAGTCCAAGAAGTACAGACGGAACTCTTAAATTCCTGTCGCATCTTTGACTTTCACAGGGTAATGGGACGGAACCGCTCGCGTCTCCACCCCCTGCCCCTCCCTCCCTGCAAAATAAGGATTATAGAAGTAGAGAGAGGATTACGTCTCACGATAGCCTTCTAAGCCAATCAGATTGTCGGATTCATGTAGACGTATACTTATCAGAATGTATATATCAGAGATTAACAAGGGGGTGGGGTGCTGATATACCTACCCCGTGTTTTGACACATCTTAAAATACCTTTGAAAGCGCTCAAAACAAGACAGCTCCTGGAGGTATTTTTCGGTATGCTCGAGGCCAGAAGTCCGTCCAGCGCTACCTTTGTACCACCAGTGTTGGCAATAGTTCAGTTTGCTCAGTTTTATACTCAGTTTAATATGCCGTAAAACTGTAGGTAGTTTGGATCAAAATCTGAAAACTATACTTGAAAAAGACAACCAACTAAGTAAAATATCCTATTATAGTTTTTAAAACTGTACGTTAATTTTAGTAAATTTATAACTTGTCTACTTCTCTTATAATATCCTCGTCGTCCCATTCCTTTAACTTTTAAATCAGCTTCCTAGGCTAATCTATAAGAAGCTAGTAGGTAGATTCCTATAGTATATGTGACGGAGCTGGATTTCATTTGACAGGATTTCATTCGCTTGGCCAAGCACGTGACGAGACTTGGCATTGGAACAACTTAAATAACTTCGCTCCTTTCAGATTCTCTTCTCTCTTTAGTTTGATTTCTTCGTACCTACGGTTTTAGTTCTAGCAATTGATTCAAAAGCTGTATACACTTTATCCTTTGTTGGCATCCGTGACAGTATATCTTTCTACTACACTGTTACTAGCGTATAGCTTAGTAGAGTAGGCCGCGTAACACTTACAGTAGGTAGATTAATAGATACCTAGGTAGTAAGGGTTTAAGGCAGTAAGCTATAGCTAATTAGAACACCCTAAATTACCAAAAAGAATACAACTATCTTCTAGGAGGAGCTCTACTAGTCACGTGCTAGTATAACCTCGACCCTACCTATATAATAGTACCCTATTAAGAGCGCTATAAATAGTCTTATAAAACTACTAAAACTATATAGTTTTAAAAGACAAAACTATACTAACCAGCAGTTTAGATTTTACGTTTAAAACTATACCAATTTTTATAAAAACTAGACTAACTAAACTAACCAGCGGAACTGAGAAAACTAATACCTACACTGCTGTACCACTTTGGGCCTTACTATTGAGTTTCTAAAGCTAGCTATGTACTTCGTCCTCGGCATGATAACTGTAACTTTAACGGAGACTTTTACCCTTTTCTCCACTGAAGCGGGATGTCACGAATCACGTGCTCACGTGATACTTGTCATAATAAAGAGGCGCAACCCTCGACAGGCACATCCAGGTTTCTTATAGCAAATAAGGATGCTTAGACTAGCTAAGCAATCCAGGGATTTCTCGTGTATGTAGTCACGTGATCAATCGCATCGCCTGTATCGACAGTCGATGTTAGCGATAGGAGGTCGACTACATCGACAGGTGACGTAGGCGATGTAGAGAGAACGAAGGTTCTATATAAGACTGGCACGTCTGCCATTAGATAGGAGCTTCGTGCTCAACTTAGTTATCAATCTTATCATATTAGTTTGACATCTTTGATACAAGTAACGAGTTCACTTCCAAGTGAACAACCCGATAGTCTTCTTCTTATCATAGCATACCAACCAGCGAACACCCAGCCAAGTTTAGTTAGCCAGTTTGAGTATTCGTTACACGGGAGGCGGTAAATCGACGCGCCCCCACCCCCCCTCGCCTAATTAGTGGTCCCCTGCTGCACAATTTCACTACAGTACCCTACCTTTCCTACGTGTATTTCTACTAGCTTATTGTAACTACAGACAAACCTGGATATAAGGATATTGGATATAAGGATAACCTCGGTTATATCCTTATATTCTAGGCCCCGATTTTTTTAGGTGGAATGTATAAGGATACCTCTATAGTAAGGATAATCCTTAGGTTCTTAGGTCCCGAAATCTTTTTGGTGCCAAAATTATCCTCATTTTTATCCTTATCGAAGGGGTTCTAAGTAAACTTCTAGTATTCTCTATATAAAACCCTAAGGCTTAGAAACAGTGTTTGTAGGATTCTAGGTATAGTACTAGTACTATATAAGTATTACTAGGTACTACGTTATATTTTCCTAGTACTTAAATATACGACCTTGTCGTCGCCTATGCCGAGACCCTCGCTATAAGGATACCCTTAGTTATATCCTTAAAAGTCTGTCCCCCGAGAATATCCTTATATCCAGGTTTGCCTGTACCATCCTTCTTCTAATAGTCCTGCAGTTCATATGATTACATCGCATACGCCGATACTTGCAATGGAACTGATTCTCAATGCTGCGCGACTGGCTTTAGAATGTGTGGATGCCAGTGTGTAGAACCATGTGTTGGCAATTTCCTAGTACGCGGGAGTTTTAATTGTAGTACTACATATACAACCTCCTCTGCGTCTTTTAAGACACCGACACCAACACCAATACCAACATGAAATGGATAAGTTTACGGCATCTCATGATGACGGAGGCATATATGCTATGGCTTGGTGGAAGGACTGAGGTGGTGGGTGAGGAATTGGGGTTGTGTGTAAAAACTAGGACAATTTGCAAACCAATTTGTACAGATATATTTTCTGTGTTAGCTTCTTCTCTTAATGCTACTGTTTTTTCATTTCCATCTATGATCATCATAGAAGACCTAGCGATGTCTCTATTCGGGATTACCAGAATGCCAGCCGTAAGCGAAGTATGAGGATCTGGCAATGGCTTTCTTTTTAAGGGTATGAAGCACCTCAATGGCGCTGTTCTGAATCCTGAATAAGCAGGTACAATGAGAGTAGGCCTCTGTTGTACTATTTATTAATACAAATTATGAGCACTTTGCGTCTCAAAAGTAGTTTCGTGGGAACGAAAAATACCATCTATTCCATTATGTGTCCAGTTTCAAAATTTCTCTCACTGTCACCTAATTGGTCAATGTAATACTAACAATGGCTACCAACACACATTTATCTTTCAAATGCGAAAACCACGACATCAAAATCCAAGGCCGTAAAAGGTCTAGTATTTCAAGGCCGCTGCCCCTAAGACACCCAGAGAGCCTTGATATTAGCACAAAAATCTCCTACCATTAGTACCAATTAACCTGAAACAAGCCTAAAGCGACTGGTAAAGAGCAGCATGACTACATTGGTAGAAACTAACAAGTGATAAGCAGCCAATACAATTCTATAGGCTCGCTTAGTTACAAAAACGTTGCGCTTTATTAGCGAGACTAAATTGACTTTTCGTCATTTCTGCTACCTAGCAGTAGAGAGAGTACCCTATAATAACACAAGGCTTCTTGGTAAGGATTGCCGGTAGATGGTTCGAAAAAATATCATAAAAACCACTGAGGTAATTCGGCGATATTCTTACACTCAAATGTTACTTACAAATCCTCCTTATATAGAAATATAACCCACTAGTAACCAGATCTTATAGTATACCCCCTTTTCCCACTCCATCTGCAATTCAACCCCTCACTAAGCGCAAACAGCTAGTCAAGATATAGAACTCACGCAAAGCCAGAAACCGAAAACAATTCTTGAAGCAAAAAATCCAATCGAGTACCCCTCCTACTCAATACCCCAAGCTAAACAAACGAGTATACAATCTCCCTAGCCACTCTTAACCAAAACAGTAACACAGCAAACCGCAAAAATCCACACAAAACTCTCGACCGCAAAACGCTATCTAACTAGACTCCATCGCAAAACCGTAATTCTTCAGCCAAAACAAGTTCCGACATTCTTTGTCACGAGAATACCTCACTTCCGATCCAATCTGCTTCCCCAGTACGCCCTGGAGCTTCTTTATTTTCTTCCAAAGGCCTTACAGTATGGCAATTCTATATACCGTACTTTCACGCGTTCGGATGCAAGGGGGTTGGGTGATTTCAAATTTGGACAGTTCATGTGGAGGGCTCGACCGTACCCTTCTGAAGTTCTGGTTGGTTTGGGGTACGGTAGACCTGTGTCCTTTGCGGGATCTCTAGCTTTGCTCCATCTCTTTCTTTTCTTCTGCAGTGGGGCACTTATTTGAGTATAGATACGGTATCGCTTCGGTAAAGTTTGGAGATTGGATAATTTGGTTGGAAAGGAGAAAGCTTAAGAGGTGCGATGAACTTGTAAGAGCTGTGTGATAAGGTTGATAACTGCGAAGACTTGCAAATTATAGTTAGCACTTACACTTACACGACACGACAAACCTGCTCGTAGAGCTTCGAGTAAGGACAATAAAGAAAACTAGCCCTCGTGCACTTAGTCTTGGTTAATAATGTACACCTACAGTATTCTCAACATTACGAGAGAGAGGTACTATATTAGAAATTGAACAACCACGAAGAAAGCTAGTAAATAAACTTAATACCCCCAACAAACACCCAAGCTCTAAACCCGATTCAACTTTGAAGTCCCTAGACTGAAATGACCCTCAGACTAGCTAAACCTATGGTAGCTCGGTTTGTGAAAACTCGACAGTCTAGATTCGCGAGCTATACATCTTGATTTTCTTATCGCCTTGACTTGCCTCTAGTACGAGTATCTGGTAAAGCAACCGAGATTTCGTATTAAAAAACGGAAATAGTTTAAACACAACTCTACGGAGTGGGAATCTTGATACCTTTTGAAAGTTTTCAAGGAACAGGGATTAGTACAGTACATACAGTACAGGAATACATACGCCACACCAACATCAAGAGCGGCATATCTATAACTTGCTAGTCATTAGCTTTCTTAATACCTAGGTAGTGAAAGAGCGATCACATAATCTATAGAATATTACAATACTAAAAGCCTTTTAAGGGGATCCTCAATTCCCGTCAAGGCAATTTTCGAAGCTCTGATGATGATTCAGTCAATTGTTTGTTCGTATTACGTGCCTGTTGTATCTCACTTAGCAGTGTCGATTAGGCTATGAAACGCAATTTCGTGAGACGTATTAATACTTTTCAGGTTGATGATAAAGAGATCTGTACTTGTGCCCGTTACCTCAAACCTGGGATAGATGGTTGGGCTTTGGGAAGCAGAATAGGTTTGATACGCCTCTCGTCATTTCTCGGGTTAATGAAAAAGAGATATTGCATCTGGCCTCGAAATCCTACAGTGGCATTTGTGGAGGTATAAAAAATTAGAATGTGATAGACTTAATTACTACCAGTATTTGCACAGTCCAAACACTTTTCGAGAGAGCCATAATCACTTCTCCCCCTTCCTCCTCTCTATAGCCGCCAAGACATCTTTAGCACTATTCGCATCACCCTTCCTCTTCTTCGGCCCCCTCTTTCTCTTCCCTTTCCCACCCTTCCCCTCTTCCTCCCCATCATCATCAGCACCCCACTCACTCAGCTTAACCCTCTTCCCATCGCCGCCTTCCTCGCCATCATCCTGGTCTTCGAATCTGCTAGATCCAAAGCCCATATCCATATCCTGAGCATCTCGATCGTCTTGCTGTAACATCTTCTTTCGCTTTGCTGCTTTGGCAGCTTCTTCTTCGTCTGCGGGTGTTTTACTCATGATTGGATTGAGTGTAGATGCTTTTTTGAGTGCCGCGAGAAGAGTTGGGTCGGTGAGTCCGGCTGGTTTTTTAGGCTCGGTGTCGGAAGGTGGTGGTTTGGTATCGCCAAAGTAGTCACGCCGCTGGGGAGGCGGAGGAGGCGGCATTCTTCCAACTTCTTTTTCTTTCCCTTTGGATTCTGTAGATGGTGCCTTTTCACCATTTTCATCAACTTCCCCATCTTCTTTCTCCTCGTCTGACGAGTCTTCTTCGAGAGCGGCTAAGGGATCATAATCGTCCCCGACATCGTCGAATATATCGATGTCTTCTTTATCTTCTTCTGGCGGTTTTGGGATTTCTGGGACAACCATACCTAAGGGCACAGCATCTTTGTCGGGCATTAGTAGACCGTGCCCTTTTTCTACCACAGGCTCAATTGGTGCTTTTCGGACTTTGCGTTTCTCAACTCCATTTTCATCAACCGTGATGAGGACTTCGCGACCTTTACTATCTCTTTCAATACGACTCGTACTTCTCTTCTCGCCGACTTTCTTGAACTTGGATCCTAGACTGGGAGCAGAGGCTTCCTTCGCGGCTAACCGGGCGGCTTTGAGTTCTGCCAATATCTGATCTCGATTCCTTTTTTTGCCCGTTAGAGATGGAGGAGCCATCTCCCCCTTTTTGACAACTTTCTCCTTGACAACAGCCTCTATAGTTCTCTCCTCCAACTCGTCAAACTCATCATCAACATCCTCACCTCCCTCATCCTTCTCCTCTTCCTCTCCCAGCTTCCTATCCTGCCCCTCCAACACATCCATAACCCCCACCTCACCCCTCCTCGTCCGCTCCAATAACGCCCAATCTAGACCCTTCACCAACGCTGCCCTCTCCCCACCAATACTATCCCCCAGAATCTCATCGCGCAGTTTGACAAACGTAGTCTCATCTATCTGATCCAACTTCATCATCTCCTCCAACGCCTTGATTCTTTTCACTTTATCACTTTCTTCAGTTTCATCTTCGCGCCCTTTCGTTCGATCCGTATATCCTGCGGCAAGTTTTGCGCCTTTGGGAGCGGCTGTGGATCGGAACTTCTTCTGGGTGGCTTGGGGTTTGTTTTGCGCCGCGAGCTGGCGCGCAAATTCATTGCTGGAGGAATAACCTACTATTGATCGCCTGCAAATAAAGAAGAGTTAGCAAGGCCAGAAAGTGTTTGAATGAGACGGGGCGTACGTACGGTGTCATAGGTATTGAGCTCCTTGCCCTCGAACCGAGAGACGGCGTTGCGGATGGATTTAAAGCGCCATTCTTGGATTTGCTATCGGAAGAAGACTGTCGCGCTGGTGTATCAAGTACGAGCTTTCGAAATTGGTTATTATTCATTATTCCGATGGTTGTTGTAGATTTTCCATCAAGTTGTAGTAATCGTTAAATGGTTGCGGTCGCAATGAACCTTGAAGGTTGAAGCTCAGCCTTGCGTGTCGGCGATAAGGACACTATCACCGAATCCAAACATATTGCTCGACTCACTACAGCCAAAAAGGGAATTCACGGTTTCGAGAAGTACAGAAATTCACTATTTATTTTACAACTATTGAACACTTTGAATCTAATTACTTTTACGCTTTTCCCTGGGTATTCGGTACTCCTATATATCATGCACTTTTCTCTTTTGCTTCCTCATCTTGGATCGTTTTTGGTTTATCGTTATCAAGCTTCATACCCAATATCATTTTGACTTCAGGGCAATATTTCAAAACATGATCGACCTGCGATGGGACGTCCCAAATCTGTTGTATAAGTCAGTCAGTGCAAGTTTGCAGCACAAGAAGGAAGAGACATGAAAGTATCTCTCTTCCTCGCTGTCAAAGAAACTTACCTGCTCATGATGCACTCCCAACCACCCAATATGATATCCCAATGGGGCATCATCCCACACACTTTCCACACTAAAAGTCTTACTAACATCCGCAACCGCCATCTTTGATCCAGGCAGCTTGGCCAGTCGATTACTCAACCACAAATCCTCCAACTCCGGACTATTCTTCTCTCTCTCCTCCATCTTCAACACCTCCAAAATCCTCGACACCTTCCTCAAAGACAACCCTCCATTCCCACCAAACTCCGCATCCGTCGCCCAAGGCGCCCCAATCCAATCATACACCAGAAAATCATTCAACGTCCTCGGCGCCGCCGCGCAAAAAATCCCATCCGGCTGAAAAACCAGCAGATTTTCCGCCGGCGCCAGGATCTCGTGGTACAAATGGGGATCGGTAAACATCCTCGAAATCGTCTCGCGACTTTTCAGACTATATTTATTGGGTAGGTTTAAGAAAGTGAGTTTCCCTGAATGTTCCAGGCGGGAGATGAGAGGATGCGATTGCATGAATTGGATGGTTGTCGGCGAGCCCATGAACTTGAATGTCCATTCCGGGGGCACGACGGAGGTCATGTGTGCGAAGAGGGCGGGGAGGTGGGGGAGAGGTCGCGTTTCGACGAGGAAGGCGACTTTGGTGGGGTCGTATTGGGGGGTGGTGGGGGTGGGCTTTGCGTTGGGGGG